TATTAGAGATAGAGGAGGCACACATTATACTTCAGGGTAGAAGCTTCAAACGGTTTAAGAATAGGTAAAGAATTAATGGTTTTGGATAATCTTTGCACATATATCCTGAGTAACAATTGGGTTGTCTTTTTACAACAAATAAATGCACAGTGATGTTGGATTGTTCCTTTAGGAATATGAAATGAAGCTGATGAGGGTTCTTTCTACTCTTACTGGTAATTCCACCTTCATGTGGCGAGATATGAACTGATACAGTGGGATATTTTGTGTCTTGCTGATGATTCCTAGGCCTTTCAACAAGAGCCAGACATGCCCTGTAATTTATTTGTTTTTAATCTCAGTTGTCTTTGAGTTGGTGGAAGCTGAGGCATAAGCACAGTGTGAGCTGGTTGAAGCCAAAAGCTGCAGATGCAGTTCTCCAGTTTTCTGTCATGGCTGGTGTAAGACACAGATAAATGAGTGAAGTATGTTATTGATTGTGGGAAAAGTTTTTGTGTATGTTGGGCTTGGTTCAGCAGAATGGCCAAATGAAGTATGGATGGGAGAATCTGCTAAGTATAAATAACTGGATATTCTTTCCGTCTTCAGGAAGGCAATAGCCCCCAAGGCAGCAACCAGGGAGTCAAAATCACACAAGACCAGCAAAAGAAAAGCAGCTTTTTCCGATGTGTTCTTCTGTGAGGGACACGGCCTTAATCTGAGCTGGACTGTGCCTGTGCTAAGTGAGGTTTCCTCTTTCCATGGACTTAGTGCTCCCAGCGTACCTTGTCACTTTGTGACCATCTGAATAAGAAATGCTTTATTTTGGTAATTGTCTGACTCTTCAGTTTTGGAGATGAAACAAGTTTATTTTTGTCAGATTGCCATTGGGTATGTGTATTGTCTAGCAGAGGAAGAACAGATACACATGTGAGATGCAGCACCATTGCTGACAGACTTCAATATTCATTCGTATCTGTCGTGTATCCAGTTTAGAAAAATGAAGTTATGATCAAAATAAGAAACTTAAATGCCACTGTTAATGAAGTACAGGTGTGATACGTGGTATATGTGTATATCCAGTGTGTAGCTGTACACAGAACAGTGGCGTGAGACCATCCCAGAAATGCACCAAGGTGAGCAGTGCAGGCTGATGCCTTTGCAGGAGAGGTACAAGGGAGCTTTCTGCAGCTCCACCTCTTTACTACTACAGAGAAACTCCTTTATCTCCTTTATCAGTTGTGTCACTCTAGACAATCCACAAGTACAATTGAAGTTTTAAAAAATTCTCCTCAAAAGAATCTCTATTCTTTTTGAAAAAAAGAATGTGTGTTGTAAATAGAATGGGTCCTTACCATTGCTAATTCATCCATATTAGACTTGACTGTGCTTAATTAAGTACTCCAGACATTCAGATGTGTTTAACAGGAGCTGATGGCTACACTGAGTCCTGTACAGATGATCTGTCATCTGTTCTTGGAGAACCAGGGTCAGGCAGGGACACTTACACAAAATCTGTCACCTTAGAATGGGTAGCTTTACCACTCTCCAGGTGGGAATGACTCTAGACCTATCATGACACAGTAGGTAGTTTTAAATCATGACAAGGAAACATATTGCACTGCTCCCAGTTGTGTGTTCCCAAGCACACTTGCTCAGATATGCAAATAAATGTTGCACATCAGAACACTTTATGAAAAGAGAGTTTATCTCTTAGACCGAGACTGGCCTTGCTGCTGCGTGTTAGTCATTGAAGCCGTCAGGCAGCAACAGCCTGTTCACAGGACATGTCAGTGCACATTCTTCCCCAGAAGCAGTCTGTTACTCATTCCCAGAAACCCAGTCCAGTGTATTCTTATGTGTGAAATGCAAGAGCCAGGCACAGCTCCTCGGTGGGTGGTTGCTCCCAGGTCGGGGGCTGCGAGCCTGAGTCTGGCTTAGGCTGACAAAAGGAGGCAGTAAGAGCATCAGCTTCCAAGGCTGCTGTCAAGGGATTGCAGTGATGGTGTACCTGCCTCCAGTGAACACACTAGCTGTGTACTGCAGCTCGCTGGAACTGAAACATGCTTTGTTTACATTAACAACTGCACTTAAGGGTAAAATTAAAGTTGATTTTGAAGTTATTGAATTTACTCACCAGCTTTGTTTTCTTTTGTTTGTGGTATTGAACTCTGGGCCTCAGAGTAGCACCTAGTAAGTGCTGCTGTAGTTAGATATCTGTTGGAGTCACAATTAAACTGTATAAATCTTCAGCATGCAATTGGGCCCAACAGGAATGCTGCCTGTTTTAAAATGGAAAAAGATTTCACTGTGTAAGTTTATAAAAATGCATTTTTAGATGCATTTAGATGATCTCTGTCCTGATTAAAGCTTTCCTCTAACCAGAACCTTATGATGGTTTGGTTTTTTTGTTTACTTGTGGCTTTTTAGCATGAGGACTTGATGAACGTGCCCTGTAGTGGATTGACACACTGATGTATTTGTAGGATAAAACCACGTTAAGTTACTGAAGAGGCTTCTAGACAGTGTGTGCTTCAGAGTGTAGTTAACACAGACCACAGACTGGACAAGCAGCACCCCTATCTTGAGCTAAGGACGTTTTTAAAGAGTTTGTGTGTGCTTCAAGAAATGATTGAGGCACAGCTGGGGTGGTGATAAGACTGGCTAGATTTCCTACATAACTGTAACCATTTGCTTCTGGCTTAGTAATAACTGTGGATGGTCTTGCATCTGTCTTGTGCTTTATACAGCCAGATGTTGAGCCAGATTTATTTTCCAGAGAGACTGGAAAAATTGGTGTTTTATCTGACTTGATAGCATGGGTCTGCCGTGATACTGGTTCTTGCCTGTGGACTGTATCAATAACTGATCTCAAGATGGGAAAGCAAACCATATTCATTTACAAGTGGGTAAAACATGAAGGATAGTATTGTGATTTTTCACTCTCTAAATCTGAAGTTACTCTTGCATTCAGAATTATTTGTATGTGAATACCTTCTGTTTAAACTTATGCTGGTTGTTGCATGTGATTATGTGCCTAATTATAACATTATTTCCTTTGAAATGGTTGGGTTTACGAACAACAACATTATTGCTTGATCTCAGGAAGTCTCATACAGTTACTGTGACTACAGTCATCACTGTACTTCTGGATATGAAGGCTCTACACAGACATGAAATCTGTGTAAGCAACATGAAACCTAAAATTCAAGTGTAAGAGGAAAAGGTTAAAGACACTGCAGTGCGCTTGGGCTTAGCTATGTGTCACTAAACACAGGCATTAAATCTAGGAGAAGTGCAGTTTGGTTCCATCACATCGTTCAATTACTTTATTGTGTTTATTAAATATGAATGTAAAGAAAAATGCAATTGTCAGAGAGGTACTGTGTAGATACATACAATAATCTACTTGTGTCTAAGCTTTCTTCAAGTAAGGAGTAAAAAAGATCAGAAATTGGGTACAAAATCTGTAAAACTGGGGAATTGAAGGAATTGAAACTAACTGTGCTTACTACTCATTCTCAGTGTCTAAATAGCACTAAAATGTCAGGTAATCGATTAACATCTGTTTTGTAGAGAAACAAACCCATTTTTTAGCATGTTCTCAAATTCCTTTATATTAGTGAGTATCATGGAATTCTGTGGTTGATTTTATTATTGAGGCAGGTTGCAGTACTTTGCATAGTTGTCCACTCCTTGGGGTGGAGACCTGTCAGTCTGTCAATAAGTGGTGGAGCTGTTGTTCTAACACTTACTTTACACTGATGTCTGTGTCCTGTACTGACAGGCACAGCCCATGTTTCCTGACATCAGAACCTTATGCCAGCATCAGACTTCCAGCCTCAGATTTATAAATCCTATGGATTATTGTAAGTCTCTTTACTGCTGCTGAAAATTATTTGGTCTCTCCTTTCATATGAGATGCTGATATGCACAAGCAGCTGTGTGAGGATGGGCTCCTTTGTACTTGTAGAAGTTGTGGGGCTTGGGGAAGAATGATGACTAACTTGTGTCTTCATTTCTAGCTTAATTAAAGATCTGTTCAAAGGAACGTGAATGGTAACTGCAGTCTGAGTGTTCCAGGCTGCCTTATTACCTGACCCATCCTTCACTGATCCCTGGAGGTTTTGTGGTTAATAAAGGTAACTGGCTGGTTAACTGGTCACTCCAGCCTTTCTGCAGGAATCATCTGCTCTACATTGAGTGTGAGTTGGGACTTACAGCTTTGTTTTGAAGGGAGTTTAATGCATCCCAGGATTTGTAAAAATAACTGTAAATTGTATTTTTTGAATGATCACTTTTGGCTGCCACCCTTTCCACATTACAACTGCTTTCTTAAACACTTCTCATTGATTTTCATGTTTGTATTAAAACAAAACTTGTTTATTACAGTATGTCTGTTTTTACTCTCTTGTACAGGACCCTGAACACTGCATAAATAAACTTCTTTTGAAAAGAGAATTTTGCAAACTTAAGTTTTCAGTCCTTTTCATTATTAGTATATAGGCACCCTGGTGGGTGTGGAAACTAGGGGATTTCTGAAAATGAAGAAGAGGGACAGGACCTGGGGTAGACTCTTGTCTCTAAACTATGCTGACTTTTTCATTGTTAATCCTGCACTGTGGGAGAATCCTTAAGGAATTGATTCACTGGACCAGTTATTAAGACCATAAATAACCATAGGAGTTACTTACATTTTTGAGACTAAAGGGATTTTTTTGCTGGTTAAGGTGTTTCTAGGTGAATTTTTAGAGGTTATAGCTTGATACAAGTTCCTTTACTACCTGGTGGTGTGTGAACTTTAAAAAAAATACTCCCCTTCTGACTGCCCAGGCCAGGTTTGCTCTACCTGATGATAGGAAATAGACATTTTGCTAAATTACAGGGAAATCCTGATGAAGAGCTTAAAAGGAACAATTCATTAAGGACATAAATGAAAGACAGTTCTCTGGCTGGTTCAGGTACCAGAAATTTTCCCCTTTGGCCCTCTCATCTTGTGCTTTCATGGTTGGTAATCTCAGGTGAAGTAAGAGTTGTTGGAAGTCCCAGAAGAGTTCCTGTCCCCATGGTCGACTAGATTCAGATTCGAATATGAAAGGTGCTGTTAAAAAAAGGAAATTGTGACCACTTATGTATCACTCTGTTTGAAGTATTTACTACAATTAATTGTAGGTCTCTGTGATAAATTGGAAACTTTATTTACAGTCAAAGCATTTCCCTAGACTGGGTACATTAAATAAATGCAAGATTTGAGTGCTGTTTTGTGTAAGATGTGCATCAGAAACCACATTAATGCTGTATTAAGCATTGAGTGAGCAAATCTCATGCACTTGTCAATGCAGCCTGAGTGCTAATACTAAATTTTTAAGTTACAAGTACCTTCTATTATGTAAAAAGCACTCTGGAAGTTCAAAAGCAAGTCAAGAAGCCTCCAGGCTTTTTCAAGCAACTGTTTTTGCAGTGTTTGCAGTGGGCAGCTCTACTAGAACCTGCCAGGGAAGAGTGGTGATCTGCAAACGCTGAGGAGATGTAAGCACATACTTCAGAGGCTTCTGACAAGGAAACTAAGAGAATTTTGTGTTAGAAATTAAAAGCAAGTATTACCTGAGGAAATCTGGAGCTCGTATGATCATATGCTGAAAGTCTGCCAAGGACAGCTTGCCATCGTTGTCCCCATCGGCCTCGTAAATCACCTTTTCACACACAAGGCTGACTTCTTCTGGGGTCAGTTCATTTCGGGTTAATTTGTTGACAGTTTTCTCCAGATCTGATTTGCATATGTAATCATCATTGTTGAAGTCTGACAAAGGAGACAAAGTTAATTTAAAGTGACAAAAGTCTGCATTTTGTATGGTTCTTTGCCAAGACCCAGTAGAAGGGTTTGGTTTCCAGGCTGTGATGGATTTTTATCAGTAGAACTCTCAAATCAGAAATTAAGTTACCTCTATCTACTTGTAAAAGAAATGAGTTACAAAATAAAAATCTTATAATTTCTCCTTTTCATACATAAGTGTAACAACTGTAAGTAGTTTAATGGCTAAACATAGCCTAGCCGTCATTAAATTATTCCAGCAAGATAGTGTGGGTTTGATATATTGTTTGTCTTTAGCTGATCATAAAGAAAGTAACTGTAAATGGTAGTTTAAAAAAAATACCTTTGCATTTGTTCTTGGAGAAAAAAGCCTGCAGTGTGCTTCCCTGTCTGCCCCTCCCAATTCACCCTACAGATTCGTGGGCAGCCAAATCCCCTGTACCGTACTTTTCCAAGCAGCCCCTCAGACAGAAATATTCCTTAATGTTTATCAGCTCTTGACAACTGCAGATAATTTCAAGTTGTAAATTTCATAGCAAATCTTAATACCAAATAAATTAGAGACAAAAGGATAAAGAAAGCCAGAAGCTTTTAGAAGAGGGAGAACAAACATTCAAGTGCTATTAAAAGAAACGGTAACTAGAAATCATTACGGTGACAAAGTGAGGATTTTGCAGCCCTACATGAAGCTGCAGGATTTCCCTGCTTACTTTTTACACATCTTACCATAAATTTTAAAAGCGTAGTAAGCTTTCAAGTCTCTGGGAGCCATTTCACTTAACACAGAAAACATGTCCAAAAAATCATCTAAAGTCATATTGCCGTCTCCGTGCTCTGAGAACACTTCTGCTATCCGCTGGCGGAATGGGTTGTCCTGGGAAACAGAGCACAGGAGCAAGGGAAGGTCATCCTTACTAGCATTTATTTCAGTGCAGGTAAGGCAAGTGGAGTGAGATTACTTTTGTTGAATCACCTTTTCGGCAAATTTTCCCCTTTCTGCCTTTAAGTTCTTATCTAATGCTGTGTCAGAAGCAGACACAGCCACACCCCTGTTCAACCTTTGTGCTGTTTCAGGGTGTTTTCTGGGAATTACTAGAAGCTTCCAGAAAGACTTCTGACTTTGATAGTCCATATTTATTTCTATGTCAGCCTCCCAGCAATTAGTCCTGGATGAATTATTCAAAAAGGGTAGATGAAACTGAAATGTGTCACTCGAGTCCTGTGCTCGGTACCTTGAGCTCTGGCATGCTGCCGATGAGCTCGTAGGGGAGTGTCACGGCTGGTTTGTCGTAGTAGTCAAGGGGAACGAGCTGTGGGGCCAGATCTCGGTACCTGTAAAACAGCCTGAGACAGAGAGAAAGGCTTGTTGACTGAACGGGCTCTTCAGACTTTTGAGAACAAGGTGTTTTGCTTTTCCACCTAATTTTTCACACTTCACATGCATTACCAGATGGAGATCAGTCATTAACAGTTTTTATTGGAAAAAAACAACAAGCAACATAGTGTAACTGGTGAAAAGTATACAAAACTTCATTATAGAGCTGTTAGGTGTAAATGCTTACACAGGACATGCAGCCAAACCCTTACGAGAGGAGAACATGTTCATGTTTTCGAGTGAGGACTCTCAGTCCCTGAACAGAATCCTGATCCTGCCTGTATCAGATCCTTTGGCCAAAGATTAAATGGGAAGTTCAGTGAGGCACATGAAGACTTGGGGGAAAATGCATCTTGGAGCAGCAGTATAATCATTTACAAGAAAACTTGACACAATCATAGAAGTTTTCCTAAACCACCAAAGTATTCCAGAGAATAACAGTACACTTTGAATCACCTGTCTGAAAACCATATGAGAGAACCGTGGATGTTCCTGCCACTAAGACATAATTCATTGCACTTATTTCTAATAAATAAAGAGGGACTAGTACATGAATACAAAATTTAGAATTCTGACTCAGTTTAGGATAGGGTTTGTAAATGAAAAAAGCCAACAAAAATGCTCAGATTGCCCCAAGGTATCACTTTGAGTAAATTCATTTAAAAATTATTTTTGAACTACTCTACCCCACCCCACATGTAACTTGCCTTTACAGCAATCTCTGTCCTTTACTCACAACATGCATGCAGAAGACTCACCTCAGAATTTCTTTCCTTGTGAAAAATGTGCAGTCCTATGAAATTAGAAAAGGTATAACACATAATGAGTTTTTAGCATACATAGGTCCAAACTTTTCCCATGCAATCACTTAAATGAAGTTACACTGTAGTGTATGTGTAAGCACTAAAGATTTCTTTTTGGCATACAATTAGGAGTATTTTATAATCTTTCCCTCTGATGTAAAAATCAAACTATGTTACTAAAATCCTTGCAGCAATTCAGTACTTCTACTTATTAATTTTTAAAAGGTGTTGTTTTAAAAAACCCAACACCTTTGCCATTATTCAATGTCCTGTGCAAACAGCTATTTAGTTTGCTTTATACCTGATATGCATCCAGTTGCTCTTGAGTGAAAATGGTTTGCTTGTTGCCCATTTTGAGCTGGGAAAACTGACTCTTGTCAGTTCTTTCCTCAAAGGCACCTTTATAGGTCGTCTGGATATTCAGTTATTAAAAGCTGCAACAATGAGGCTCAGGTAGAGCAGAGGATCAGGTAACCAACTTCTACAGGCTGCAAAGTATCAGAACAGGAGCATTTCATCAAATCTTTAGTCTGGCTGCTTGAGGCTCTTATCCAGCAGCATTCACGCGTCTCTTGTGTGCATCACAAAGTCTCGGGTTACAGGATTTAGCCAAATAAATAATAGCTGCTTGTTAGTGCCCTTCAGCTTCAGGTAGACCCAGTGGATCCTGCTTTTTCATGCCTTCACCTGATGTGGCAAATTAACTGAAAAGCGTTAGTATTGTTTTCCTTCTTTAAAATTTAACACCAAACGAGGAAAATTTGGTAGCCACTCCTCCTTTCCTTTTCACTTTTCGTAATAAAGGGTCAGAATTGTAAAAAATTGGGAAAAGCCCTTTTAGATCATGGAGTGCAACCATTAATGCAGCAGTGACAAGGTCACCACTATGCCATGTCCCCAAGTGCCACATACACATGTTTTCTGAACACTTCCAGGGATGGTGACTTCATCACTGTCCTGGCCAGCCTGTGCCAGTATTTTCCCTTAATGCACATTGTTATAATACAGTAATGCTGATGGTAGTTTATACTGGAGGTAGTACCCATAAAGTCTGCTTGCTCCCTTTCTTCAGCATCATCTGCTGATGTAATAAATGGTTATTAGCATGACATCCATCCATACTGATACATATATGGCCTTTACATTGAAAAGATGTGTGAGTGTACAGTTCATACATGTGAACAGAAATGTGATGCTACAGGCTGTATAAAAGATGAAAAACAGAGAAAAAGAAGGAGGCACTAGCTGCACCGTATGTAGCAGGCTGCTTTTTCATTAATCTGTAAAGTCTCTATTTCTGGGTCACTGGTTCCCTCTGGCTGGTGGAAGATCTGTTCCTTGGGCAGGCTTGCTCCTCAGGGCATCTTCACATAGGAGAAGCTATCTGGAATGGTTCTGTTCGGGGTGCAACAAGAAGCGTGGGGAGGGATGCGGCTGGTTTCTCCTGGTGTAGCCTGGACCTCTGGGTGTTCTCAAGGCTAATCAGTCCTGTTTTCTTCAAAAGCAGATTTACTATGTGGTGCGCAACAAGCCAATAACTACACACTTGAGAGAGATATTATTTACACAAGCCTGGATGCTTGTTGGGTTTCCACAAATCCCAACACACCCCACTGGACTTTCCATGCTATTATTTACAGCAGTTCAGAGTTAGTGTTTTTCCAAGGTCAACCCCTCTATTAAGATTATTTAGTAATTTCCATACAAATTAGCCAATCCCCAGCTAACTTCTCCACATGCAATGGGGAAGGGTCTGCACCCAAGCAGGGCCTTTTCAACCCTTAGACATGATCTTAAGTATTATAATGAAGATAGTTCAGCTGTAGGATATACAGACCTTGAGTCCTTTTCCAAATTTTCAATGTATACATACACATACATCAACATTTTGATTTACTACATCCCTAAAGCTTGTTAGTTCCCGTAACTAAGGGCTGCTGTCTTTCCTCTCGTTAGGTCTCCTTTCTTGCTGATTAGGTTTGAAAGTATACAAAGAGTTTACATCAAAAACATTCTCATTTAAAATAATCTTGATATATTGCACATTTTGCAAATGACGCTTCGGTTCCTCTCACGGAGATACCTCCGGACTGGGCTCGCCGCCGGTTCCCCTCACGGCGGGGCCGGGCGGGGCTCGAGCGCGGTTCCCGGCCCAGAGGCGCTCCGGCCGCGCTGCTGCGGCGGTGCCGGCAGGGGTCGCGGGCGGGGCCGTTCCGCCATGGCGGATTACGAGGCGGTGCAGCGCGGTCCACTGCGGCTCAAGGGCAGCGGGGGAGCCCTGGGGGCCGGCAAGCGGTGAGTGGGGTCGGGGGGAACCGGGGGAGAACGGGGGGCGGTAAGGAGGGGACACATAGCCCGGGGTTGAGCGCTGACCGGGTGCTCCCGCAGGAAGAAGAAGAAGGCGAAAGACAAGGCCCAGATCCTGGAGCAGATCGTGAGCAGCAAGAAGCAAGAGGAGGAGAAGAAGCGTGGGCTGGACAAGCGGACTCCGGCGCAGGTGGCCTACGAGAAGATGCAGGAGAAGCGGGTAAGGCTTTAAAAAACCCAGTCTCCCCTCGGGCGCGGCCGCTGAGGGGGCTGCGAGTGCCGGGAGTAACCGGCCCTTCTGTGTCTCCTGCAGCAAATGGAACGGATCCTGAAGAAAGCGTCGAAAACCCACAAGCAGCGAGTGGAGGTGAGCAAAACTTCAAAACAAACTTCCCGAGTTCCTCAGGCCAGCGTGTGTTTATTGTTGGGTTGAAGAAACTGTTTCACCTTATGAAACACAGTCAGAGACGCAGGAGTCTTATGGTTCAACTTAGTGATGTCAGCACCTGTTTTCTTTCTCTTTCCCTCCCCCAGGACTTCAACAGGCACTTGGATACTCTGACTGAGCATTACGACATTCCCAAAGTCAGCTGGACTAAATGACCGGGCTGCTTTTCACGGCTCTGGAGCGGGAGTTGTGTTTTGTTTGTATCAAGCACGGTTGCCATGAAAATGTCTTTTCTCCATATTGTCTAATGCATCTTCTGAGCTTTTATGACTTTATACTGTCTTATTTTATAGTCTTGTTTTTCAAAACCGGCCATCCAGCAATGTCTCCTCTGCACTGAGGAGCTCTGGATTACGTCGATGCAGAGGGTTGTTTTTTTCGTGTTTATAGTGAGATTAATTACTGTGAGCCAGATGGAAAACATTCCTTTATTTCTTTGGTTTTAACAGTTCTCCCATTTTAAAGGGAAGAGTCTGACAGTCTCACATTTAAGTTTCTCTTCTAAGTTATGTGAATTGTACAATTACTTTCTATCAAATTCTGTCAGAGGCCATGCTGCAAAACGTGAAATATATAAAATTGTCTTACAAAAGGATGTTCTTTGATATTTGATCTCTGTATACTTTGAATCCTAATGAGCAAGAGGAGAGGTCTAATACATGAAATAGCAGCCAACAAGCTCTATGTCCAAGTTTTGATAGCTGATGTGCTGGATTTCTGGAATCCCACCGAGCACCCAGGCTTGTGCAACTCTGAAATAAATAATCAGTGTGTCTCTCGAGTGTATAATGACTGTCTTGCTGTGCACCGGGTACTGAATCCGGTTTTTGTGGAGAACAGTATAATTTCTATCTTGAGCTCTTTCAGAGTGGTCTGCTGCAACTTGTAACTTCGATGTAACTTATTAAAACGCTGCCTTCATCCCTTTTTTGGCGCTGATATACGTATAAAATCGGGGCAGTGAGCTGAGCAAAGTTTGTGTGTGGAGTTTTGAAAGCGCCAAACCCGCCTTTACGATTCTTAACCCCTCTGAGGGATGACGTGTATTTGATGTTCGAAACCCTAACGCGCCGCTTAAATCGGAATATTGTTCTTAACCCGAATCAGGTTCCGCCGCGGGCGCCATTGAGCCCTGGGTGCTTAGCGTGTGCCCGGCGCCCCACCTCACCCTGGACGGGCCGTGCCAGCGCTACCGGGACGGTCCTGGGGGAAAAAGCACGGCGGGACTATTTAACTGGGGTCTGCTCGCCGTGTCCTTCCGCCGCACCGCACGTATCGCTGCGCGCAGCCGCCGGTTCCGGCTCGTGACGTCACTTCCCGCGGAAGCGGAAGGCGGGGGGGACGCGGCCCGGCCGCGGCGATGTCGGCCAGCGCTGTCTATGTCCTGGACCTGAAGGGAAAGGTGAGGCCCGGCCGCGGGGGGGTCGGCGGGGCGGGCGCGGAGCTGGGGCTTCCGCGCCTCTCTGAAGGTTTCGGGGGCCGCGTTACCTTCACCGGCACCGCCTCGCTGTCAGCCCTGGATTAGCCGAGCGGGGACAGGGGAGTTGTCGCCTGTAGCCCCTCGCCGGTAGAGATGTTGAGTGAAGCGGCATCCCTGGGGTGATTAATCTCTACCCTTTTTGTAGCTGCTTTGCCTCAGGGGAGTTGCGTATATTCCTATCCTAAAATCATTGTTAGAGCGTGAGCAATAACAGGGGAAGGATAGGTCTGGAAAATACTAATACATGACTTTGCAATTAAATACGGTTATTTGCGTTCTAATCGGCAGAGTATTTTGGCATTGAGATTTGCACTTACAAATGCAGAGAGGCTGGAGGAAAGCTGGATGACTTTAAAGGGGCCTTTCAGGCATTTGCATGTCTTGCATGATAACGGCCTCGTTAAAGAGAAAAAATAAGTTAAAGAGAAAATACAAGGATTTGGTTGCTTTCTTTATAGGTTCTTATCTGTCGGAATTATCGTGGAGATGTGGACATGTCAGAGGTGGAACATTTTATGCCAATCCTTATGGAAAAGGAAGAAGAGGGGACGCTTTCTCCTATTTTAGCACATGGAGGAGTTCGTTTCATGTGGATTAAACATAACAACCTGTACCGTATCCTTTATGCTACAGATGTGTTGACATGCCAAGGGTTGCTGTTTGTTTGGGTTTTTTTTAATAATGTCAAAGTGCAAGTTGGAGCATGGGTGAAATGGCATAAAGAGGACATAATCAGTAAAGCTCATTATATTAAATAAATTTTTTTTTCTGCTTTACGTAGTGTAATATGCACCAGCAGCATAAGGTCCAGAGAAGTGTTTTTATGAATTTTACTCTAGTTAAAAGTTAGTGCATGATTCTTCTAGGCAACTCTAATTGCCTAAAATCAGATTTTTTAAAATGCACTTAGTAAACTTTTTTTAAATGCACACTCCTGAACATGCTTTATCAGTTGTTGCAACTTCTAAGAAAAATGCTTGTGTATCACTGGTGTTTTCATTTTTATATAAAGTAGTTCAGGTGAGTATATTTCAGAAGTAACCTTTGTGTTCTTTTCTGTTTCAATAGAAGTGCATAGAGCTGTCACATTTTTAAGAATTTCAATAATAGAATTTTTACTTTATATTTGATTATTTTGTAGAGCTATCTTCTTAAACACTAATAAGGGCACTGATATGTTGTAGCTGTGTAGGCAGAGGATGGGGCACAGTGCTGTAAGGAGTTATACAAGACCTGAGCACCTGGAGGAGATTGTGAATTGGTGTGAATCTATGTGTCGTGCCTCACACAAGTCCTGTGTTTGGTTCATCTGTATCTAGTGTGAAAAATATTTTCTCCAGATCAAATATTTTTCATAATAGTTTTTTCTAGAATTCTCTGTATCTGTTTTAATTGTGGTGGATTTCCTGGGGCTGATCTGAGCAGAATGCCATTTGGGAAGTATGGGGTTTAGGTTGGAACTTTAGAAGATTTAGATGATTTTAGATGCAAGAATACCTTCTGTATGTGCTGTGCTTCCGTAGTTAATGTCCTTCTTTTCCCTCTCCCTCCTGTTGTTGCATTTCAGGTTTTTTCTGAATATTTCAAGGAGTTGGAAGAAGAGAGCATTAGGGATAATTTTGTTATTATTTATGAGTTGTTAGATGAGCTTATGGATTTTGGTTATCCACAAACCACTGATAGCAAAATTTTACAAGAGTAAGTATCACTCTGCATCACTTAGAGCGGCAAAGCCCTTGGAATGTTTTGAGCCTTTTTCCATAGGCAAACAAATGCTTTGGTGTGTTCTAATTATCAAAAATATTAATTTTCTTTTTATCCATGCCAATTCTGTGGTTGTGAAGGTACATCACTCAGGAAGGCCACAAACTTGAAACTGGAGCCCCACGCCCACCTGCCACTGTTACAAACGCTGTTTCATGGAGATCAGAAGGGATAAAATACAGGAAAAACGAAGTGTTCCTGGATGTCATAGAGTCCGTTAACCTTTTGGTGGGTATCTTGTACTTCTGTGTGAGAATTGTAGTAGGAAGGCTTAAAAAGGGGCTTTTTGTATGAAAACCTGCAATGAAAAAGTCTGACTGTGGATGGTGTGCTGTGGCACTCAAAGCATTGTAATCATTAAGTTCCCCCAAGGAAATCCCATACAAATAACGCTTTAAGTGTGTGTATTGCTGATTTTTGGATATGTCCTTTCTTCCTCTGTGTCCCTTCATGTCCCTGATCTAGTTCACTCTACTGGATCAATTCCTCAAAAGCAAGACTCAGGGTGTAGGGATAGGGTGGGAGTGTTTCTTGATGTCACAACTCACCACATCAGAGATGTCTTACCTTCCTCTTCATCTTTGTTCAGGTCAGTGCCAATGGAAACGTATTACGGAGTGAGATAGTTGGATCCATTAAAATGAGAGTCTTCCTCTCAGGAATGCCAGAGCTGCGCCTTGGGTTGAATGACAAAGTTCTCTTTGATAATACAGGCCGTGAGTGCTGCAGTATCGTGATAATCATGACAGATGCTGTCTGGAGTCTTGAGTTTTGGGATACTTGGGTAGCATTGTAATCACAGAATCATGAAGGATGGAAAAGCCCTCTAAAATCATGAGGTCCAACCACCGTGTTCACCACTAACCCATGTCCCCAGGTGCCACATCCACAGTCCTTTTGAACACTTCCAGGGGTCGTGACCCCACCAGTGCCTAGGGCAACCTGTGCCAGTGCATGGCCATCCTTTCAGTGAAGAAATTTTCCCAAAATATAACTGAAACCTCCAGTGGTACAATTTGAGGCCATTTTCTCTTGTCCTGGGAGCAGAGCCTGACCCTCACCTGGCTCCATCCACCTGCCAGGGAGTTGTGGAGAGTGAGAAGGCTCCCCCTGAGCCCCCTCTTCTCCGGGCTGAGTCC